ATAGCGGTCCATTGCATGACCGGCAGCAGTGGAACCAGGGCCATCTTTAATATTGATTGGACCCTGGGCAAACATGTTTTTGGGCCCCCCTAGTGCAATATCAATCTCCATCCCAACATCCCAAAAAACAAACAAACACACACATAGACTTATCTCATAAAACGTTAATAATGTACACATAAAGAACTGGCCCACACTCACTGATTGGTTCAGGCTCACTGATTGGTTGCTAGAGGTTACTGCACAACCTTACCACTCGCTAATTGTTTCCTAGAAGTTACTGCACGTCATTACTGCTAACTGATTGGTTGATATAAGTAATTGCTTATCATTACCGCTCACTGATTGATTTCTAGAGGTATTACCACTCACTGATTGGTTTCTAGAGATTACAGTAAATCACTACTGTTCACTGATTGGTCTAGAGGTTACTGCACATCATTACTGTTCACTGATTGGTTGCTATATTTACTGGGAATTTATGGGCATTAGACTAGATTTACACTATAGCAGGTGGTTGCGGGTGCGGAAATCACAGGGAAATTGCAAGGCACAAAAGCACCATGCAATTTTCCTGCTGCTGCATTTTGAAAAAGGCATCTTTTTTGTGGAAAACACAAGGACAGAAGTCCATACAAGTGTGACCCATGTGACAGAGATCAGTAGTATATAGTAGGGCAGTGTACAGAGGTCAGTAGGATGTAGAGTAATGTACAGAGGCCAGTAGTGTTCAGGGTAGTGTGCAGGGGTGTGTAGTATGTAGAGCAGTGTACAGGGGAAAGCAGCAGGCAGGGCAGTGTACACAGGTCAGTAGGATGTAGGGCAGTGTGCAGAGATCAATAGGATGTAGGGCAGTGTATAGAGGTCAGTAGGATGTAGGGCAGTGTACAGAGATCAATAGGATGTAGGGCAGTGTACAGAGGTCAGTAGGATGTAGAGCAGTTTACAGGGGTCAGTAGAATGTAGAGCAGTGTACAGGGAACAGTAGGGCAGAGGACAGGAGTTTATAGGACAGAGGATTGAGGCCAGCAGGGCAGAGGACAGGAGCTGATAGGACAGAGGATTGGGGTCAGCAGGGCAGAGGACAGGGGGCAACAGGATAGTGTACAAATGTCATTAGAATGTAGTACCGTGTACAGGGATCAGTAAGGCAGAGGTGTGAGCATCTCAAGGGCATAGGACAAGGGGTCAAGAGGGAACAGTACGGGGGGGCACAGTAAAGGGGGTCATGAGAGAGCAGGGGGCACAGGCAGGGAGTGAGGGCAAAGTACAATGGAGTCAGGAGGGCACAGTATGGTGGACAGGAAGGCACACACTAGGGGGACTGGAGGGCACAGAATGGGGGTCAGGAGGGCACACACCAGAGGGGGTCAGGAGGAATCAGTTTGGGGGAGAGAAGGGCATGCACCAGGGGGGTCGGCAGGGCACACACCAGGGGGCAGTGACAACCTGGGGGCAGTGATAATGCTTTAATGAGTCAAATTTCTCACAGAACTGCATGAAAAAGGACATGCCATCTTCCCACTTGCCAGCTAACAGCTATGCTAAGCTGCAGTAACTCAGCAGACTTAGCAGAGAGGTTCCTGCAACTTAATCCATGATGTACTGCTAGATGATTTTACCTTTAGACACACTCACTCAACTCCATTTGCTCAGCTGACTGTCATACCACCCTCGTCCAGGTGGGAATGATTTCGGAGATCAGGCACATCCCCATCAGGCCCAATCAAACAGCAAAAGCCAAAAGGCTCTACCTCAGGTATGTTCCTTTAGTGCTGCAAGAGCGGCTAGAGCAACCAAAAAACCGCTGGGGGAGCAGGGTAGTGGGAAGTACAAAGGGCAGAGATTCCAGTCACGATGTGTGGACAGAAAGCAATTCCTAACACTGAACCATGATCCCCGATGTGCGGACATGTAGCAATGAGTGAAATGGCTGTAGCTGGCTCTGATTTCTGGGAGGCAGCTGGGGACAAGAGCATGGCGGGACAGGCAGCCTACCAAAATCTGTGACATTTGGCAAGTATGGCCAGCCACAGCACAGGCTCACAGGACTGCTGCTTTGGGTCCCACAACAATTACTGGGCCTGGGGCAGCTGCCCCTTTGGCTCTGTGCTAAAGAAGGCCCCAGGCGAAGCAATGCACCGGCTTCCTGGGCATCCTGGGACCCAGCTGGTACCGGTAATGTGGGGTAATGTGGTGGGGTAATGCTTCAAGGGAGTCACTGACTGGGAGCTCTGCAGGAACTCGTCCTCACTCCACCAAGCCAAAGCCACGCCCCCTTTATGTGTCTTTGAGTGCAACATTGAAAGTACACAAATTCTTTAAACATGATTTTGGGGATGCCTTATAGCTGCAGGTGGAGCAAGAGGACTGCTCTAATATAAGTTGAACTTATAGCCAAGTGGAGAATGCAGCCAACATAATGCATACTGACCTGGCCAGCTAGAAATTGTTCTGTTCCGCCATATTCCTTACGATGGTGGCAGCAAAAGACTTAAAGTAAAGATAAACCCACCAAGAAAATTCTTAAACTGCTTAAAGATGAATTCCAGTTGTGAATGTTTTTAGTGGTCCACTGGTTACACTGAGCTTGGACAAATATAACTATCCATATACCATACCTGTGGGATCCTCCTGGAAACTGGAGATGGCTGTAGTAGGCACCACTACTCTAGTGATCTCCACTAGTTTCTAGGTTCTGTGTTGCAATGCTGCCCTGCTGCATTGTGAACACATGAGGCCCCCTGCTTGGAGGAGCACCATTCAGAGAATTCTTAGCATTTTCTCAATTAATTGAAATCATTCTCTGATTGGATGAGGTGGAGAGTCATAGTTATAACATCACAATCTCCAACTTTTCTTATCAAAGTACACTTTGCATTCATTGAGCAAATGCAAAGTGTTCTCTGAATGTATCAATAAGGTTTGGGCCTGTGTCAATGGCATCAGTTTGACATCAGTTTGAGACACTTCTGAGATCTTTCGGAATTTGACAGGTGCATTAGACCTGCAGTCGACTTCCTTCTGGCCTACATTTGACCAGGTTTTGCATTTCCATAGACTTCAATGGGAATGCAAACCTAAATTTAAAGCAAACAAGTACAAGTTGACCCTTAAAGTGTTTGTGCAACCAAAACATATTCCTTAGTTTTGGAGAGAGTATGTAAGGGTTAGCAGCACATAGCAGAAAACACCTAATTCTAATCCTTTCCCAATCTTCTCAATCTACCAAAAACCAGAAATATTTTTAACTTGATATATACTTTATTATTTTATTATTTTGATGTAAAAAAAATATGTTGCAGTCTCTTCAAATGCTGGTAATCTTATTATAAAGGTACTTGTTATGAGGGAACAACTGTCAACTGACTGTCATTTTGCTTCTGTTTTCACCCTCTCACATGTGTCCCTTGTTGAGACTACAGGTGACCATGCTGACACACATTGCGCAGACATGGACTACTATTGTCACTATCAAGAATGTCATCTAGAACAATGACATGCAGGTAATGCTAGGTAGCGTGTATCGAGACAGGAAGTAACTAAAAAAGATGGAGATCAGCAGTGGTGAAATGCAAAAAAAGATGGAGAAGAGTATTTTTTAGAATAAATGCTAAATGTTCCAATTGTTTGAAAGAAATCTTGCGAGCCAAGTAATAAAAAATTCCTATTGTTGGATCGCAAACTTATAACACATAACTACCAATGTGAAAAAAGCGTGAAAATAAAAATGTAGTATTGCGCTCACAACCTTTCAATCTTATATATCTAGACAAATAAATGTGTATATGATATACATAAATGACTGCATTTGTGAATCTGTAAAAATCAACTCACATAAGCAAAAATAAAAAAACACTGAACAGTTAATAAAAAAGAAATAGTAATATAATATAATGATAATGTCCCACAGAGAAATAAGTGACTTTGTGTTGAAAAATCTTCAGTATCTTTAAATAGGTGACTGCTTGTGCCTCCTCCCTTAAGTGAAGATGTGCGCTCACCTCATGAATAGCCTGCAATTAGGCTATTAAAGCTTGCGGTTCACCTCCTTGGAACCTACTTGTTTAGGAACTGCTGTAGATGAGATAACCATGAAATGCGACATGTGTTGTAGAAAAATATCCTCTCACTGGGTGCCACTCCACTGTCTTCTTATTTCCATGCGGTTCTCCATAAATAAGAAAAATCCTGACATGGTGCTTTATCGTTTTTAAAAAAGCTTTAATGTGAAGCTGACAGGTGGCACTCACATAAATCGTATAGTGGTAGTACAATTATCTCAGACCTCCGCTGACTGTCGGAGCTGTACGCTCGTGGTCCGATGGCCGGACTGACTCCCTCCGAGTGACGTGAACAGTCCCACCCCTACGCGTTACGCCACCAATCACGTGGCTTCATCAGGGGGATTTGATTGGTCAATCACTCGTGAGCTGTCGGCTTATAAAGCACGGCTCCGCCATTTTATTGGCTATCTAGTGGGGGCAGCCATTTTCCTATAGACATGTAGTGAATTGTTAATATGACTGATAACCCTATACCCATGGTTATCTCATCTACAGCAGTTCCTAAACAAGTAGGTTCCAAGGAGGTGAACCGCAAGCTTTAATAGCCTAATTGCAGGCTATTCATGAGGTGAGCGCACATCTTCACTTAAGGGAGGAGGCACAAGCAGTCACCTATTTAAAGATACTGAAGATTTTTCAACACAAAGTCACTTATTTCTCTGTGGGACATTATCATTATATTATATTACTATTTCTTTTTTATTAACTGTTCAGTGTTTTTTATTTTTGCTTATGTGAGTTGATTTTTACAGATTCACAAATGCAGTCATTTATGTATATCATATACACATTTATTTGTCTAGATATATAAGATTGAAAGGTTGTGAGCGCAATACTACATTTTTATTTTAAATGCTAAATGTTGCCCAGTTATAATTTGCATTAACATTAATGGTAGATAAAACATTTGTTTTGCTCATATTTAATTTTTAGCAATTCTTCATCTATAATCAAACTGGGTGTCCACTCAAGGAAAGCAGAAGATAAATATGTACAGACATTCAAGGTCTTAAGAAGCATAGGACATAACTATGATGAGCAAACAAAGAATAATGACCTCAAGCTTGTACAGGTAAGAATATCAAGTAAACAATAAAAGTGTATTTAAACCCAAGAAAAGACAAAAAATATATTGCAGCTTTTCAAAACTTGGATGTTGTGGCTACATTAATTTTTTTGTTATCAGGCTTGCTTCTTTTTAATCTATATTTACCCAGTGATCCTGCCATTAAACACTTTCTCCATTAGGATGGCAACTTTCATACATTGTACTGTATCTATGGAGGAATAATGTTATCACCTAGGAGAGGAAGTATGTTAAGAGTATTAAACAATTATAAATAAACAGTGCAAACATAGACCTCTAAATATAATCAATCTATCAAGTGCATAATAATACTAAATATATCATAAATAATATTAGTAGTGAAAATCCATCATAATAATAAACACCAAAAGTTCGTGAATCACAAAAAAATTCGTGTAGAGATAAGAAATCCAGAAATTCTTCAGATGCAAAGAAAACTTCCACCTTCCACCCGTGCAAACCAACATCAATTACACTCACCAGATTTTGGTGAATGAAACGCCTTTTAGGAATTTAATGGGATCCTAAACCCTCTTTCGTATCCACTCTATAGGATTCTTCACCATCAGAATAGGCTCCACCATTCAACCAGGGAGAAAAAAATCTCAGATCAGACAAGTTCTGGTCTTGAGAACGCCCGATGGGAGGGGCGAAACGCGTTGACGCATTTCCGGTCTTTACCCCGTACGTCTGACGTCACTTCCGGTGAGTGGAGCACACGCTAAGCGGTGCGTTCCAGCGGTCATTTTTTGGGATCTGTGCATGGTTTTCTCTGTGGAGCTTCTGCTGTACCCTGGAGCTGTGATGTGAGATTCCTGAGGAGGCTGTATATCACTCATTTTCCATCTGGAAGAGGTTGTTTCAATAAATGTGCCTTTTAAAAGTGGTTGAATTGTGAGTGGCCTTAATCTTTGATTTTATTGAAAGTAGCAATTAGCAATATCACACTATCTGAGATTTTTTTCTCCCTGGTTGAATGGTGGAGCCTATTCTGATGGTGAGGAATCCTATAGAGTGGATACGAAAGAGGGTTTAGGATCCCATTAAATTCCTAAAAGGCGTTTCATTCACCAAAATTTGGTGAGTGTAATTGATGTTGGTTTGCACGGGTGGAAGGTGGAAGTTTTCTTTGCATCTGAAGAATTTCTGGATTTCTTATCTCTACATGAAATTTTTTGTGATTCACGAACTTTTGGTGTTTATTATTATGATGGATTTTCACTACTAATATTATTTATGATATATTTAGTATTATTATGCACTTGATAGATTGATTATATTTAGAGGTCTATGTTTGCGCTGTTTATTTATAATTGTCACATTTTGTGTGTTTTATCACATTGCACAGCAACAGGGTAGATCCTGTAGTAGTTTTTTCGGCGCAGGAAGAATTTTCAGTTTAAGAGTATTGAACACCTACCCTTCTCCACTAGGGAACAGACACAAAAAAATAAACCCAACATCATTCCAAATAAATGTTCTGCCTATTTGGCACATTTTTTTAATAACCTAACCATGCTTAAATAGGTATCAGATTAATTTTACAATTGTACTTTTAAGGTAACAAGGGGTGTAATTGAAGCAGTGCATACAGTAGGCAAGGTAATTTCTTATCAGGGTGTATAAAATATGTGAATTCTTAATAGAATAGGGTGATCATGTCCAAAACTTTATTAGTGCTGTGTGTAGATTATGAGTGCAGTGTGCAAAACATAAGCAAGGCATACAAAATTAAGTACAATTTAATACAGAATTTAACATTTCTTTCACAAAGGTTAGGGTTGTTTGACACAATAACAGGTCCAAGATAGCTTAAAGGAAATTCTCCAACTCACAGGAGCTAGTTAAAACTCACTGCAGATTTGCCTTCTCTGTTGTTCTACTGTATTTCACCCAAGTGGTGACATTTTGGTCAAATGTCCCTATTTTTGCCAATATCTTGACAAAGGGAACTCTCCCAATATTGATCAGCTCTAAATATGATTTTTGTTGCTTCTCATACTCATAGCCCAGTCAGATAAGACCTCAAAATTATTTGAATAAAGAATAACTGTAGCTTTCCAAATCTCTTTCAGCTGTCATGCAAAGCTAAACTAAACAAAGCTGTGAAGATCCTGCCATTACCAAATAAATTCAATGATGTTAAAGATGGGACTGCGTGTGACACAGCGGGGTGGGGTTCAACCAGGAAGAATATTTTGCAAATGTCAGACAAGCTTATGGAAGTAAGCCTTACAGCAACAAGCAGAGAGAGATGTGCTGCTATGTGGAAATCTAGCATAACGATCACCCCAAACATGATGTGTACCTTTGATGCAAATGGAGAGAAAGATGTATGCAGAGTAAGTATGGAATAGTTATTGTCATTTGACACATTTTCCAAGCAGAAGTTCAGGGCAATAGGTTTCATCCGGAACTCTAGCTGTTTGCACTTTGTAAATTAAATGGCCTGTTTGTCCAACCCCACATCAAACCAACAGCTGTGGAAGTCAGGAAGTCATTCATTAGTATTGCTACTGCCATTAATGAATGACAGCTTTCCGCTCAGCACTGTGGATTCTAAAATGCTGATAGCTGCCAGATTCCTAGCAACTATTGTACAGTGGGGATCAAAAGTTTGGGCACCCCAGCTAAAAATTTGTATTAATGTGCATAAAGAAGCCAAGGAAAGATGGAAAAATCTCCAAAAGGCATCAAATTACAGATTAGACATTCTTATAATATGTCAACAAAAGTTAGATTTTATTTCCATCATTTACACTTTCAAAATAACAGAAAACAAAAAAATGGCATCTGCAAAAGTTTGGGCACCCTGCAGAGTTAATATCTTGTACTGCCCCCTTTGGCAAGTATCACAGCTTGGAAACGCTTTTTGTAGCCAGCCAAGAGTCTTTCAATTCTTGTTTGAGGTATCTTTGCCCATTCTTCCTTACAAAAGTCTTCCAGTTCTTTGAGATTTCTGGGCTGTCTGTCACGCACTGCTCTTTTAAGGTCTATCCATAGATTTTCAATTATGTTGAGGTCAGGAGATTGTGAAGGCCATGGCAAAACGTTCAGTTTACGCCTCTTGATGTAATCCCCCGTGGATTTCGAGGTGTGTTGAGGATCATTATCCATTTGTAGAAGCCATCCTCTCTTTAACTTCAGCTTTTTCACAGATGGCATCAAGTTACCATCCAAAATTTGCTGAAATTTTATTGAATCCATTTTTCCTTCTACTCGTGAGATGTTCCCTGTGCCACTGGCTGCAACACAACCCCAAAGCATGATTGATCCAACCCTATGCTTAACAGTTGGACAGAGGTTCTTTTCATTAAGTTCTGTGCCCCTTCTTCTCCAAACGTACCTTTGCTCATTCCAGCCAAAAAGTTCAATTTTAACCTCATCGGTCCACAGAACTTGTTTCCAAAATGCATCAGGCTTGTCTATATGTTCATTTGCAAAGTTCAAACGATGATTTTTGTGGTGAGGATGTAGAAGAGGTTTTCTTCTGATGACTCTTCCATGAAGACCATATTTGTACAAGTATCTCTTTATAGTGGAATAGTGTACCACAACTCCAGCGTCTGCCAGATCTTTCTGGAGGGATCGTGCAGTCAAACGTGGGTTTTGAATTGTTTTTCTCACAATCCTGCGAGCTGTTCTGTCTGATATTTTTCTTGGTCTTCCAGATCTTGCTTTAACTTCCACTGTTCCTGATGACTGCCATTTCTTAATTACATTCCGAACAGAGGATATTGACATCTGAAAATGCTTTGCTATCTTCTTATAGCCTTCTCCAGCTTTGTGAGCGTCAACTATTTTCAGTTTCAGTTTTCTAGACAACTGCTTAGAAGAACCCATGGTGCTGATTGTTGGGGCAAGGTCAGATGAGTCTGGGCATTTAAAACCTTTGAGATTGACATCACCTGGTCTTCCCAGACAAAAATTGAGAACAATCCATGACACTGGCAGGTCTCAGCTTGGCAAAGGGGGCAGTGCATGCTATAAATTCTGCAGGGTGCCCAAACTTTTGCAGACGCCATTTTTTTGTTTTCTGTTATTTTGAAAGTGTAAATGATGGAAATAAAATCTAACTTTTGTTGACATATAAGAATATCTAATCTGTAATTTGATGCCTTTTGGAGATTTTTCCATCTTTCCTTGGCTTCTTTATGCACATTAATACAAATTTTTAGCTGGGGTGCCCAAACTTTCGATCCCCACAGTACATCCCAACCCCATTCATCTGAATGTAAACAGTGGGACTGGGGATTCTGGATGACATAATTAACCATATAAGGATACATGGCCATATTTAGTCAGTGATATCAGCTAGCATCATTGATCCCTGTGTTTACATTTGGTTGCTGGCTGGGGAATCTCCTGGATATAAGTGAATGGGGCCAGGGATGTGGGAATGAGTCCCTTGTCCACATCAATGTGGGGACAGTGTGTTTTGCGTGGGGACCGCCCTGAAATGGTTTAGGAGGAGAGCCCATTGCTTGCTGCCCCCCTCTCCTGGCCAACAAGACTGCATGCTTGGATAAGGGGCTGGTATGGATCTGAGGGGTCCCTATGCTATTATTTTTTTGCATGGGTTCCCCCTGAAAAGGTTTATGAGGAGAGTCCATTGCTTGCTGCCCCGCTCTCCTGGCCAGGAAGACTGCATGCTTGGATAAGGGGCTGGTATGGATCTGAGGGGTCCCTATGCTGTTATTTTTTTTTGCGTGGGTTCCCCCTGAAAAGGTTTATGAGGAGAGTCCATTGCTTGCTGCCCTCCTCCCTTTTCTTAGTGTAACAAGGTTAGCTCGGCAGCGGGTGTGTGTGACCCCCTGGATGGGTGCACAACACAAAAATATTGGCACAGCACAACAATAGTGGAGGTGAAAACAAACAGGTGCAATTTATTTACAATATTTACAGAAAAAATGATAAACAAAAAGAGACATCAAAATAAATCCTGGCCAACTTGGCTACTTACTGCAACAACAGCTTTTCCCTAGCTACCCACTAGGTACAGCCTGCTGCTATACCTAGTTGCTAGTACTGGGAGGTTAGCCACACAGGCTTTGGTCTCTCTGCACACAGATAACAGGTCAGCTCCCCAGACAGTTCAGGCACAGATCTGGTTCCAGGGTGGAGCAACTCCCTAAGCACTCTGGGAAGCTTTATACAAGTGTTAATGAGCCCACTACCTTCAGCTGGGCTCATTATCTCAGTGCTGAAGGACTCAGCACTTCCCTCTAGTGGTACAAATCCCCATAAACCCTGAATCTCGGACAAATATATCGTCCATCCAGGACGCAACCAGGTGATTTCACCTGCCTACTGTCACATACCCCCCCCCTCTTGTTTCAACCTTGGGGTTGTAACACCAGTAGCCAGGCAGGCATGTACCCGGGATAAAGCATCCACATTTCCCATCTGAACACCGGGGCGATGCTTCACCGTGAAGGTAAATTCCTGTAGGGCCAGAAACCACCTATTTACCCTTCTATTGGTCTCCTTATTTTGAGCCATCCATTTCAAGGGAGCGTGATCTGTGATCAGGTCAAAATGTCTGCCCAGCAGATAGTACCGAAGGGAATCTAGGGCCCACTTTACCGCTAAACACTCCTTCTCAATCGTGGCGTAATTTTCCTCGTGAGACTTTAGCTTTCGGCTGAGATAGATTACCGGGTGCTCCTCCCCCTGCCAAACCTGGGACAGCACTGCTCCTAAGCCAACATTGGATGCATCTGTCTGGACCACAAAGTCTTTTGAGAAGTCTGGTGAGTATAGGACTGGCTGGCTACATAAGGCCCTTTTTAAAGACAGGAAGGCTGCTTCAGCCTCAGGGGACCACTTAACCATGACAGACTCCTTCCCTTTTGTCAGGTTGGTTAGGGGTACTGCCATAGAAGCAAAATGGGGAATGAATCGCCGATAGTAGCCAGCAATTCCTAGAAAAGCCCGTACCTGCTTTTTGTTATTTGGGCGTGGCCAATTCTGTATTGCTTCCACTTTGTTTATCTGAGGTTTTATTACCCCTCTCCCAATAGTGTACCCCAGGTACTTGGCCTCCTCCTGTCCAATCGTACACTTCTTTGGGTTGGCCGTAAACCCAGCTTTCCATATTGAGTCTAGCACAGCCTGAACTTTTGGCAAATGTGAGGCCCAGTCTGCGCTATGGATAATCACATCGTCCAAGTACGCTGCAGCATACTTCTGATGGGGACGAAGAATCTGATCCATTTTTCGCTGAAAGGTGGCCGGTGCATTCTGTAACCCGAACGGCATTCTTTTATACTGGAATGACCCTTCTGGGGTTACAAATGCAGTCTTCTCCTTTGCCGACTTAGCTAGGGGAATTTGCCAATAACCTTTCGTCAAGTCTAGTGTTGTCATGTACCGGGCTGCTCCCAGTCGGTCGATTAGTTCATCTATCCTTGGCATGGGGTAGGTGTCAAATTTTGTAACTTTATTCAACTGTCGAAAGTCGTTACAAAATCGCCAGCTCCCATCTGGTTTGGGCACCAACACTATGGGGCTGGACCAGTCACTTTGGGACTCCTCTATCACCCCCAAATCTAGCTAGCATTCTCTGTACTTCCCCACGTATTGCCTCCCGTCGAGCCTCTGGGATTCTATAGGGTTTCAGTTTTACTCTTTCACCCGGTGGGGTGATAATGTCATGCTCCACCCCCGAGGTTTGTCCCCGGCAGCTCAGAAAAAACCTCTGTGTTGCGGAGCACAAACTCTTTAGCCTCCTGTTTTTGAATTGTAGACAAGGTGACTGCTATTCCAACCTCCGGAACCAAGCAGTTAGATGGCGCTGGTGACAAACCCTCAGCAACTAGGGATTCCCTGTCCCTCCAGGCCTTTAGCAGATTGATGTGGTAGATCTGCTCCGGTTTCCGCCTTCCTGGTTGTCTGACCCTGTAATTCACCTCACTCACTTTCTCAATCACCTCGTATGGGCCATGCCATTTGGCCAGGAATTTGCTTTCAACCGTAGGGATTAGCACTAGCACTCTATCTCCTTCAGCAAACGACCTGGTCCGGGCCCCCCGATTGTACACCCTCTGCTGCGCTAACTGTGCTTGGGACAAATGTTCCTTTACGATAGGCATGACCTGGGCAATTCTATCTTGCATTTGGGCGACGTGCTCAATCACACTCCGGTGGGGAGAACTCTCACTTTCCCAAGTTTCCTTGGCGATATCTAACAGCCCCCTTGGGTGTCTCCCATAGAGCAACTCAAATGGTGAAAACCCTGTGGAGGACTGGGGTACCTCCCGGATGGCAAACATCAAATAGGGTACTAAATAATCCCAACCCTTTCCATCCTTATCTACCACCTTCCTTAGCATTTGTTTCAGGGTTTTGTTGAACC